CAGCTGACAGGCACTCGGGCAGGTCAAAATAGCANCTTTTACTGGTCTTAGTGAGAATGCCTGGCAGGGCACTGCTTTCATACCAGGCAGTGACGCCTATAGTAATCACCGCATCACTGGAGCAGACAGGACCCGCCCAGTCAGACTGAACAGTACTTCTACACCAGAAGAATAGGCACACAGCACTAACTGCACAACTTTCACCGCTGCTGTATCCCGGGCACTGCATACAGTGTATATCCGAAAATAAGTATGCTAGAGGGCAGAGTCAGCCGCAGACTACGCTGGTGGACTTGTGCTGCACAAACAAAGAGAGTGCTCTACACGGACATAATAATACAATGGACAGACACTCCTGGCCTTCTTCGCACAGGGCACACCACGCGCCTTAAGTAAACTCAAGCTCGCTTGGACTGCTCTTACTCTCTGTTTATCTGCAGAGGAGCAAAGTGGGACAGATCAGAATGAGGCTGATCAGGGACAGTGTGATCGGACTAGATAAGAGGCCCATGGGAAGGTGCTCACGTGTTGCTCCTGTTACTCTATGATTGGCCACTGGCAGAAAGCTCTTCCCTTGGCTGTTCCCTCTCTTGTACTTCCCATGGGCCTCTTTGTGATGCCAGGTTAAAATTGTTGACATAAAAAAATAATTCCTGGCGTATTTATAGACAAAAAAAGAAAAAAGACTGTTTTGCCGGGGTATTTTGGCGGGCATTATTTGGCGGGGTGTATGCCCTTAGTCTATGCGCTCTCTATTTCACCTGATCGCATAGCTGTATATATGGTGTTTCGGCTGCACTGCAGTCTATTTCCGGGCTATATATAGTGTCTAGAAGAGTCTAGAGAAGTGAATGCTGTGTGAAACAACTACACAGCGAATAGACTGAGCATGCACACACACTAATATGCATGCACAGACTGTATACAAGGTAGCAGGGAGCACTTCATGTGATTGTGTGGCATAATAAAAGAGAAGGCGTGAGAAACAACTAGTAATCTATAGTAGCATATGGAGAGTGTATAGAAGAGACAATAAACAGAAAATGAACTGTGTAATAAATCGAAAGAAGTAAATGCAGAGTGCCTGTATATGGGTGCAGTGCATACAATACGAATGAATACGCAATTCTGATAATTTATTCTATAGCAATACACGGTGCATGTGCATGGCACTCCTTTCCTGCCCAGGAGAGTGCACGACAGCGCGTGTGTACATATTTCAGGTTGTTGTTTGGGATTATTCGGACTATAGAACAACTTGTTCAGGCCGGTCAGTGC